CCCTCCCTCCCTTCCTTTTTTGTCATTTTTCAAGTCAGGGTTTCTCTTCGTAGCTTTGGAGCCTGTCCTGGAACTAGCTCTGTAGACCAGGCTGGCCTAGAACTCACAGAGATCCACCTGTCTCTGCCTCCCGAGTGCTGTGGGATTAAAGGCGTGCACCACCATGGCGATACATTCTTGTAATGTTGAGGGATCCAGTAAGGGATCTGGGATAATTGGAGACGGAGCAAGTGCAGTCAGGAGTCCTCAGAGAAAAGGCATACTGGGTACCATCTGCCCTAAGAACACTAAACTGCTGCCATTTCTCACAGCAACCCCAGGTGTCTGACTGGTAAGCAGCTGCTCGGATGTCTGTGCTGGGAGCTCAAAGCTGACTGCGAGCGCAACCAGAAGAGCTATGCTAAATTCCTAGAAGGCTGTGGCACAGTAGCACAAACATGGTGGCTCAGAGTGACAGAATGTTTCTCTCACAGTTCTGTAGACAAGAAGTCTGAAATCAGCATGCTTGCAGGACCACGCTGCCTTCAAAAGCTCCAAGGGAGGATTTATTCCTTGTTTCTGGCAGCTTCTGGTGTTCACTGGCTTACGGCTCCATCACTCCCATCCCTGCCTCTGGTCTCAACACAGCCTCTTCCTTGTGTGTCTCCATGTGTGCAACCCTCTCCTTTTTCTCAAAAAGATTCCAGTCAATAGAGTTAATCAAAGATGATTGCATCCTGAGATCCTTAACCAATTACCACCCACGAAGACTCGACTTCTAAATCAGGCGTGTTCCGAAGTAGGGGGGCCACTATTCAATCCAGTTTGAGGGCCATAATGGTTGAGCAATCTTGACAAAGGGGACAGGTATGTGAACTGCTAGTGCCCACAGCTATCCCCTGCTGTGTTCATAGCTTCATAGATGGAGGAACTGGGATCCAGACCACGAAAGACTCTTGCCCAGAAACATAATACAGGGGCAATGCAGGAGGAGGAAGGCGGAGGATGTGCAGGTGGGGACACAGAGGAGAAGTGGGATAGGGGAGGATGGGGATGAGTTTACAACCTTGTGGAACAGAGAAGAGCATCTTTGCATCTGAAACCACTATCCACATAAGAAGATCTGACCAGAGGAAGAAAATGATAACAGTCAGCCTGGGATACGGTGAGCCCGAGGACCTGGGTCCAATCCCCAAGACTTGTGGAAAAATGCCAGGTATGGTGGTATACATCTTTAATCTGAGAGCTAGTAAAGTTCACTGACCAGCTGGCCTTAGCCTGCTTAGTGAAATCCAGGCTGATGAGAGACTCTGTCTCAAATAGAAAGCAGACAGTACAGGTTTGGGGAATGACATGTTGGGGAATGACACTCAAGCCTGGCCTCTGATCTCCTACACAGGCATAACATGTACATGTGCGCTGAACACACACACACACACACACACACACACACACACACACACACACACACA